TAATGCTCGAATTCAAGTTATTTTAACTTTCTACCATTTCCACAAATGTCTAAATACTACAGTATTTCCTAAGGATGTGCTTAATATTTAATTATTTTTATTTTTATTTTTATTTTTACTTTCATTCATTGAAAATCCTCGAAAATACATACTTGCAATTTATGTAGTGAAACTCTACTTTTTGTGGTGTAAATAGCAATAAAGTTTTAATAAAGAGGGTAGCTTTGGGATCTTGAAACTTCAAATAATGAAAATGTAAAATTCTTTTAACTCGCCAATTTTGTCCAAATCTCATTTTCAAAGAATTAAAAGGAAGTAAATTATACCACAAACTCCATTTTTGTTTGTGTAAAAATAATAGGAAAAAAAAGGTACATCATGTCCTGGTCAAAAATAAGATTATAATTGTTAGGGATTTGTATACTACAGCTTCATATGCTAAGAACATTCATAAATAATAATAATAATAATAATAATCAAATGTTTAGAGAAGGATCAAATTGTGTTGAGATTATTTGAGGCTTCAAATTTTGTGACCGTAGACTGCAATATTTTTAAATCTTATATTTAGGATTTGAAGCACCTATCAATTATTACTTTGTCTGTTGCTTCTAAAGTGGTAGAGGATACGTTTAAATTGAATCAATAGCTTTTTCAATTAAATACTTTAGTCATACATTTTTTAGACTATATAGGTTGTTTTTATCATACAATTCTTTTATTTTGATGAAAAATTCCTTAGATATTCATACGTCCACCCAAATAACTTAAGCTATTTTTAAAGATAAACCATAAAAACTCTTGGCAAAAAACAACCACAATTAACCAAGATAGATGATTTTTTTTTCTTTTTTCTTTTTTTTTTTTTTTTAGTTTTGTTCATAGCACATCTTTCATTTATTTTTATTATTAATATTTAACACAAAGTAAATTACAAAATCAAGCAAGTTTACGTCGATATCAAATAAAGCGTCTAAATAATAAATTTTGGGGGTGAAGGTAGATCAAATCTCAAGCTCGTTGCTTAGAGCTTAACTCATGGAGGGTCCTATTACTACGAATTCAATTAGATATATTGATATTTGATACACCACATCAATGTTGCTTAAATGATCAAATCATGAAATTTTATAATTTTTTTAATTGTGCTTGAATTCAATTATTTTGACTTTCTTTCATTCCACAAATGTCCAAAGACTATAGTATATCTTTTCGTCGTCGTCGTCGTCGTCGTTGTTGTTGTTGTTGTTGTTATTATTATTATTATTATTAGTACTTTCATTCACTGAAATCCCATGAATTACATACTTTCATTATGGAATAAAACTTTACTTTTTGTGGTGTAAGGACCAGTAAACGTTTGATAAAGAGGGTAGCTTTGCGATCTTCAGAGTTAAATAATGAAGGTGGAAATGTTGGTTTGACTAAAATTCTTTTCTCACGCCCATATTGTCCAATTCTCATTTTCGAAGAATTTAAAGGAAGTAAATGATACCACTAGCTAGTTTCTGTTTTTGAAAACAATCTAACCCCCCCCCCCCCCAGCATATTTCAGTGGTGCAAAGGATAGGAGTAAGGTAATCTCAACTTTGCTGACAATCACAGTGTGAGGGTTCGATTGCTGAGATATGGAATTAGACTTTTTGTGAGTACCAGTGTACGGACAAGCTCTTGTTCCCTGACTTGTTGGGGTAAATCCCGCGATTTACCTCCCTCACGATACTTCAAGGGCAGGACAGTGGGACGCCCCTAAGGTTGGGTTTCAACCTTTTTGTGAAACAATCTTGCTACAATGTCAGGGGATTTTACCGGACACTTTGTCAAGTTCACACTCGACAGACTGTGATTGACAGTGTAAAAGGGGGAAAAAAAAAAAAAAATCTAACACTGCTAATCACAATATGCCATTTCACCCCTTATACAATTTCCTAGCAATATCCCCTTTACCCGCTTTATCCTTGTGTAAACATAATTGAAGAAAGGGTACATAATGTTCAGATAAAAAATTTATCTAGTCCAAACCCAAAATTTCCGATCCTATGACAGGGTGATGTTATTATTAAAAAAATTAAAATGCTTAGAGAAGGATCAAATTGAATTGAGGTCATTTGATGCTTCAAATTTTGATAGTAGACTATGCAACATTTTTAAATCTTAAATTTTGGCTTTGAAGGACTTGTCAATTATTTCTTTTGTATGTTACTTATAATTATAAAGTGGTAGAGGATGCTTTTAAATTGGATCCTTGGCATGCCTTTTAGAGCACAGTTTTTATAGTGGTAGAGAATGCTTTTAAATTGGATCGATAGCCTTTTCAAGTAAGTATGTTAGCCATAAGTTTTTTATGCTATATTGGCTTTGTTTTCTAGTCATAAATATTTTATTGTGATGAAAAATTCCTTAGTTATTAATACTTCCGTGTAAATAACTTGAGCTTTCACTGATATGCCCGGTGTACTTGTATATGGAACATTTTTGATCAATGATATTTACATTTACCGATCAAAAAAAAAAAAAACTTGAGCTTTCACTGTATTTTTATTGCCCATATTTAGCTCAAAAGTAAATTATACCATCAAACAAGCTTACATTGATATCAAATAAAGTGTCCAAACAATAAATTTGGGGTTGAGGGTAGCGTTGGCAAAAATGGCTAGTGGGCTACTTTCACATAATTTTAAATGGGACCTGTTTGTTCATTTTGAAAAATCAAAGTTAATTTATGTTCTCCTCTTTGAGAGCATAAAAAACCATGCACGTAACCCTAAAATTGATGTTCGGGTGAATAAGAAATTGAAGTCCAAAGTTGATGAATTAGAAGAGATTTATGTACTGGGGATAAAATTATTTAAGTTTGTTTCACGTAGGATGTTTATAAAAGGGAGGAGAATATCTATTTTAGTAGATAGTGGGTGCACTCATAGCTTCACAGATGAGAGGCTGGCTAAGGAGCTGAACTACACTATTGAGAAGACTAAAACCATGACAGTGAGAGTGGCCAATGGTGAAAAGCTGGAGAGTAAGGCTTTGATTCAACCATTGATTTAGAAGGAAGATGAGAACTTTGAAGTTAGGAGGTAGTGATATGGTGCTAGGTGTTAACTGGATGAGTCAATTTGGACCTATCATAAACAGGGATATATTCAGTTCAAGCATAAGCAGGAGGAAATAACATCAAGTGAAAATGCAAAACCTCAGGCGATGATGATGGAGGTGGAAGAAGTACAAAATTTATTCAAAAGGCAACAATATTGGAGTTGTTGGACAATTGTATTCCATCGCTGAGAAGGAAGGGGAGGAAATCTCACGCCAAATCACTGAAGTTGTAAATCAGTTCCTATGGTATTTAGGAACCAACAGGGCTACCACCTCTTCGAACCCATGATCACCACACGCCTCTGAAAGAGGGTGCTCGACCCTTCAAGATAAGGCCATAGAGATGCCCTTTCATCCAAAAATCAAAGATTGAGAAACTGGTCAAAGAGATGCTGGATAGTGGCATACTCAAGCATAGCAATAGCACCTTTGCTTCACCAATCCTCTTAGTCAAAAAGAAAGATGGGTCGGGGCGATTTTAAGTGAATTATAGATGGTTAAACAACCGTGATAAGGCTCTAATTTATGAACTTTTGCATGAGTTTAATGGATCCAAATTCTATCCTACGATTGATCTCAGGGCAGTGTACCACCAAATCAGGGTTATAGAGGCAAACACCCGTAAGACCACTTTCAAAATCTACCTAGGCCTATATGAAGTTAGTGGTGCCTTTTGGCCTCACGAATGCACCTGCTACTTCTTAGAGCCTCATGAATGAGGTGTTTGAAGATCAGCTGAGGGATCATGTATTGGTGTTTTTTGATGATATTCTGGTTAACAGTGAAGACCTAACCTTCCATTTCAATAATCTCAGATCAATTTTAGAAATTTTGCAGAAGCACCAATTATATGCCAAGAGATCTAAGTGTACCTTCGGGCAAAAACAAATGGAGTACTTAGGGCATATAATCAATCAGGATGGAAAGGCAACAAACCCCTATCAAAGTTGAAGCAATGAGACAGTGGCCTAAACCAATGAACATCAAGCAGTTAAGGGGGTTTCTAAGCCTCACAGGTTACTATAGAAAGTTTGTCAGAGGCTATGGAATCATAGCCAATTTCCGACTGACTTGCTTAAGAAAGACAATTTACATTGGTCAGAAGTAGTAGATTCAGCTTTTGTATTGTTGACGGTAGCAATAAGCTCTACCCCAGTGTTGGCACTCCTTGATTTCAGGCAACCTTTCATAATAGAAACTGATGCCTGCCAAAGTGGAATAGGAGCTGTGTTAATGTAAGGTAGAAGACCTTTGGCTCATTTGAGTAAGGCAATGGGAGTCAGGAACATGGGACTATCTGTGAAAAGGAGTTATTAGCCTTAGAAACTGCAGTATGAAAGCGGAGACAATATCTAGAGGGTCACCACTTTGTAGTAAAGACTGACCACCAATCCCTCAAGTACTCATGTGAACAGAGGATCACCACCCCACTCCAACCGAAGAGGCTTACCAAACTCCTTGGCCCCAGCTATGAATTGTTTATAAAAAAGGGGTGGATAATGTTGCAGCAGATGCACTCTCAAGGAGGTACGATGGGAGTCCTGAATGTACAGGCATGATGGGAGTCCTGAACGTTCTTACATCTTGATCTTGATGAGCAGCTTGAGTTGGAGAAATCTTCTAGCTCCCAATTTGTTCTAGTATTTTAATCAAACTTATCAGATCAAGCCGAGTGTTGAACGAGAGACAAGAATAGAGCAATTCACAACCTTCCTTCCTTCGCTTCTCTTTCCCAGGTAATGTTCATAAGTTGATCGTATCCCTTTTTCTTATTTCATTCATCTTTTGTTTGTCGGAATTTCATTGAATCGAATAAAATCGGTACAGCTGGTATTAGAAAGACGAAAGAAATATGAAAAAAGTAAAAATGAAACACCTCTAATAATGGATGTGTCCCTTCAAAATAAAGTGAAAATTAGACATCCAAATACATTTTATTCTTTACAATCTCTTACATGGTACAAGTATTTACCCTGGAAAACTATTACAGAGAAGTATTTACCCTAGAAAACTATTACAGAGTATTACATCATTCTAATTTAAATAAAAAACAAAAAGGATGAAAAGTTGGGGGGGCCGGGAGGGTGGGGCGCGAAGACGTCCCTGGGCTTTGAGATGCATCTTTAATTCTGGTTTCGAGCTCTTTCCTTCTCCTTCACTTCACACCCTTGGGATTCGTCATATTCTTCATGATGAAGATGAACAATTCATCAAAACTTCAGTCATTAAAATATTTATAAGAATATTTATGTTACTAAAACATAAATCCAACAAAACCCAAAACTACGATCTGGACACTATCAAGACGAGAAGGGTCAGTGACTGATCAAAAGGGGAGAGAGAGAGAGAGAATACCCGGAGCATTTCCATGAACATTTGTCTCCTCGTCCTCTCCGGAATTCCGTCCATAGATTCCACCAAATCCTTCTTCGTCAGACCTCGTAGCATATCCTTCTCCAAATGAATCAATACATCCCCTAATTTCAAAACCATGTTAACCTCAACCATTAGATCATATATCTAACACACCATAAGAAATTTCACGACAAATTTTTTATCTTGAAAAATTCTTCGACAACCCTTGAAAATTTTTTCATCCTTGAAGTGAAATATCTGTCTATACCTTCATTATTAACAAAACAAGAACAAAACAAGAATTGGGTACGAACCCTCTTTGATTTTTGGATTCCTGTGACTTCTCTATTTTCTCAGTGCTCGGTGGTTTATTAGGCCCTGACATGGCTTGCACAAATCTGACTCTACGGCCTCTCCTGCTGATGTTATTTTGCAGTTGAGAAGAGAAAACAGCTGCTGATGGTGGCTGTACCCTAACTGATCGAACAGCGTTGAACATTTCCCTTATGAACAATATCTGTTAAAATGAAAACAGCATATATATAACATATATTTTACGTATAGAAAGGGACAAAAGAGAGAGGATATATTGTGTCAGCATGGATTTGGGGATCAATAGGAATTTCCCTAGTCATATGCGAACCAAAGGTATCGGTTCTAGTAGCTTCACACGTATTCACTGTGTTCGACAAGTGTGTCGAGGGAAACTCTAGAATGTGCCACACGTCTTGAAGTCATTAAGGATCTGATAGGATAATATATTTAAGTGTTACATTAAAACTGCTCAGATTTATTTATTTTTTATTTTTTTTTTGTCTCATCGCAAATTGCCAACTATAAAGACAAAATTATTAATAAATTCGCACATATGGAAAATGATTCCTATTTGACGTAATCAAGTTGATGACTGCTCAGGAAGATCAATCATATCATGAAAAACTGTCATGTTATCACCAACCCCAATTTTAAATAAAGCGTCTGCAACTTGGTTTGATTCCCGAAAAACATGCCTGAAAATCACTTCTCTTCCCATATAAGATCATTTATCTCTTCCCATTCTTTCCAAAATTTCCATCATGTGCATCTTTTGTTGAGGAACCAATTCACAACAACCTGAGAATCACTTTGAGTAATAATCTTTGAAAAGTTTAGTTCAGCACATATGTGAATGTCATCCAAAACTACTTTTAGCTCCACCCATATGTTAGCACCGTGACCATAGAACGTATGAAAAGTACAAATAAATTCCCCTTTATCAACTTTGATCACCCCACCTCCACGATAATTACCAGGATTTCCTATACAACATCCATCAATTTTAACTTAATCCAAGTAGGGAGAGTAGGTATGCAACGAACAAACTTAGTGACTTTATTAAGCGGTTTTCAAATCTAAATACCCAAAGTTCGTAAGGTAATACAATCAGACAAAGATAGCCTAGACACCTTAGCCACATTGGCACATAACTCACCAATCCACCACTTCATTGTAGCCCCAACCTGATCACAAATAATAGCAACACCTTCCATCTTTTTTCGACACCTTGTTGTCCAAATAGCCCAGAAAATCAAAACAGGGGAAAAGCCAATAATCTTACCCACTTGGAACGTTTGTGATGCCTTACAGAACCAAAAATTCATCCTTCGCCTCCAACCCAGCGATGTAATGTGAGAGATGCCTATGACCGTTGATAACTGAACCCAAAGGAAATCTGCCAAATCGCTTCCGTCCAACAAATGGTCAAGGGACTCAATATGAGGTTTAACACAGCATACACATTTTGAGGCTATGGCAATCCCCACCATTTGTATTCTTTCGTCCACACCGAGCGCATTATGTATAGCTTTCCAAGTAATGAACGAGATTTCTTTTGGAATTAATGGATGCCATACCCATTTGTCCCAATCTACACACTCCCGTTTAGCTCGTATAAGCTCCCAATTACTACAAGTACTAAACAAACCATCCGGAGATGGTTTTCAAACAGTTGTATCCAGTCCTCCACGTAACCTTGGAATGTGTTCTATTGCAATTTTAGCTAATTCACTCCCAAATAGATATGTTATTTACCTTCTTTGTTCAACGAACTTAGGTCTTTTAATTGGTTAAGCTTACAATCTAAGCTTTTTCTCTTTAAAGATGAGAGTTTTCAGGTCTCCTACTTGTAGTAGGTGGGAATGTTAACAATAAAATTCGGATCAAATAATTACAATTCAAGATCAAGATAAATACAATCAACAAATTTTCTTACGTAACTATGAGTTTCACCTCATAAGTTTGCTAGTCTCGATGCTTAAACTAGAATAAGAGGAGAAATAGATAAATAGAAAGAAGATGTTTGAATTGAATGTCATTCTTCAAATAGATGGAGATACTTATAGACATCTCTCCAAGCATTGGGGTGAATTGTTAATTCTTTCGGTGCTGTGCCAAGTGGCTATCCTTGATTAGTATTCTAATAATTGATTTTAGTTAAAAATCATGTTTTATTTATTTGACATGTACCGCTTATTGATGGCCTATAGCTTGTCTGAATACGAGGATTAGGTCGCGACATTTTGGTGAATCTTTTGCTTTTTCTTTCGCGTGTTGTTTTTCTTTGGACTATTGATACAAAACATTCTATGTTGGAAGTTTATTATGCAAAACGTTTCCACGTTCCTTTTTTTTTCCTTGCATTTTCACCCTATTTATACATTTCATTGCGAAAATCATCATTTCATTCATTTTTTTTCAATAAAAATTTGTGAAATAACTAATATACCCTTATATTTAAATAAAATAAGTCTCAAATAAATTATTAAAAAAATTAAAAAGAAAAACAAAAAAGTTCTCTTCCCTTCGCAACACCTCCACCTACAGCAAACAAATAAAGTTGTCTAAAATTAAAATAATTTGTGACAATAATCTTCGATTATTTCTTTCCCAATCCATCTCCATCCCTGTTTCTTCAGTTCTTCCTCCCCAACCTATTCAGTCCCATGGCAGTCTTAACAATTTAGGAAGTTTTCAACTGAGTTAAAAATTCTTTATTTGCAATGTGTAGATAATTGGGTCCATATTCTACCACAGATTTTTCGATTTTGTTGGCTGTTTTTATCGGTTTTCGCTTATGGATGAGAGTTTTAACTTTTTAGCTTTATGTCAATATTCAAGGTAATATGATTATAGGATATTCTTATTGATAATCATTCATTCAAGGAAAAAGGGAACGAGTTGGGTGGAGGAAATTGGGATTGAAGTTTGGTTGGGGAAGTAATTGGGGGTTGAAGCTGAGTTGCGGAAGGAAGAAACCGAGGTTGAAGATGGGTTCAAAAAGAAGGCATCAGCAGTTGGATAGGAAGAAACCGAGGTTGAAGATGTTGTAACTTTTAATGGGTTTTATTTTTCATTTTTTAATGATTTGTATGGGTCTCATTTGCAATTTTTTTTTTTTTTAATATTTGGGATTATGATTGTAATTAATTCTTTATTTTTATTTTCCTTTTTGTTTTATTTAAATATAATGGTATATCGATCATTTTACAACTTTTTATTGAAAAATTAAATGAAAATGAACGAAAATGACGATTTTCATAGTGGAAGGTCTAAATAAGGGTGAAAATACAAAAATATGAAAGGTAATGACATTTTACACAATAAACTTCAAACATTGAGACATTTTGTGCTAATAATCCTTTTTCGTTTCGCTGAAGTGGAATTTTGCAAAGTCTCTTACCTTGTTCAACAAATTGCCCCCTAAGCCCTATTTTAATATTAATGTTAAATTTAGGGATAATTGCAACTGAGACCTCAAATTTTTAAGAAGTTGCAGACGTTTTTCTAACATTTCATTTGTTGCAGCTATCACCTCAAACCTTTTAAAACGTTACGAATGAAATCCCAATGGATGGATTCCAATTATATTACTGTCAGTTGACCAAAAAATTAGACTTTGATCACATTTTAATCAATTATAAAAGGACAAAATGATAATTTTATATTTTTCACATTAAAATACTTAAATAAAAATGAAAAAAAAAGAAAATGAAATAAAAATGAAAAAATATCTTCTTCTCCCGCACCCCCTAACCCATCAATCCAAAACCAAAATTCTACCGTCACCACCCTCCTCCACAACCACTATCATCGTCACCCCTACCACATCCATCACCACTGTCTCCGCAAAAATGACTCAAGATATTGAGATAAAAGATCAACAACTTGGTGGTGATGGTGGATTTCCAGTTTGGGTTTGAGGGATGAGGATAAGGGAGAAGAAGATATATTTTTTCCCTTTCCATTTTATTTTCTTCTTTTATTTTCTTTTTTTTTTAATTTAAGTTTTTTAATGTTAAAAATATAAAGTTATCATTTTGTCATTTTATAATTGATTAAAATGTGGTCAAAGTCCAAATTTTTGGTCAACTGATAGAAATATAGATGGAATCCAATCATTGGGGCTTCATTTGCAATGGTTTGAAAGGTTTGAGATGACGACTACAACAAATGAAATGTTAGAAGAATGTCAGTAATTTTTTGAACGGTTTGGGGTCTCAACTGCAATTGTCCCTTAAATTTAAGACCTATCATTGTCACCATTCAATAAGTGTGAACTTTCCTAGGGGCCTGACCTGATTTCCATACTTTGAATTTAATGCTTGGGCCAAATGAAACGTCTATGACGTTATATGAGCCTTGCTGCTTTGCTTGCTATCGATTATGGGGGGAGATTTTGTATCCCCACTAGGCCTTACGTTGCAATTGTTCCTTCTTTATTTTTTCTGAATCCATTGGGATATGAATTTATTCTCCACCTTTTCCTTATCTTTTGGCTTTAAGAACCTATGTGAGAATCTGGATTGTGCAAGATGACTGAATCATAGGACATGCCTTCCATAGTAGTTTTTTCTTCACATAACAAATTTTGCAGCTAGTAGCTTTTTTTTTTTTTTTTGATATCCAGGTATCCACCTTACAGTGACTAAATCCTGGAGTCTACACGTTGGCTCCTCAAGCTGCAGACAGGTTAAACCGCAGGTTGTGCCCCAAAGTGATCAGTGCTCAAGAGCCCCCCCAACTGATTTGCCAAAGTGCCAAACAAGTCGTTTTTCATCTTTGTACCTTGCCTTCCAGTAGAGTTCCTGCCTTTCAAGATAAATTCTACCTTCTAGGAGAATATCTGCCTTCCAAGAGCCTTCCAGGAATCAAACTCACGACCTCTAATCTGCCAGCCTTGAAACGTCCTCATCTTTGCCAGTTGGGATGTGCCCTGGGGGGCATTGTAGCTAGTAGCTTTTACTTTACATAACAAGTATTGTAACTATGCAACAGATATAGTTCGCAGGTATTACTTGCTTTGTAATCTTCATTTTTTATTAATAAAGAGCTTTATTTTACCATGTGTTTGATTCGCCAATCGTCTTTTGATTTCAACTTTAGTTTCTCGTGTGATAAATTCAAACGGATTGTCAATGGATTAAGAAAGGAACATGCTCTTTATAGCGTCTACAGGAGACTTGGGATGAGACAGTAGGACTAATATGCTTGCTAATATCCAGTAATCCCCCGTGGTATTTTATAGACGGACAATTGGGAACTACCTAGAAG